GCAGAGGTTCACGAACGATATTTTTTTGGCTGCAGACAGTGCTTTTAATCGTAAACATCAAATGACGGGACCCTGGATTGCGTCTGCACGCGGAGACTTTGCCCGCAATTTTTTCGCAGACGAAGTAAAAAGGGGTTTTTTTGAAAGAGCTACTGAGAAAAACAATAGCTGCAAAACCGCATATAAGCAACCACATCAGGTGAAACCCGTTGGCGTCTTCACTATGAAGTTCTTCATCGGTCTTTGCTTGTTGCTGGTAACGGTGTATGCATTGCCCACAGGTATGATATACCAAGTCTACTTTACATTTCAGTGATAACTACTCGTACACATTACATGAAAAACCGTAGCCAATATCCAGAAAAAATATTTAGATATAACCAAAGCAAATCGTTTTGTATTCTGGGAATTATGGCTTCTGTCTACCTAACGCAAGATTGTTCTGAAAGCTTAACCAGATTTACGCAGTTGTTTTCAATAGACATAACTCTTCTGATCATTATGACTATTCGTCTAAGTTGCCATGCGGTTTTATGCTTCCTGTTGTCTCACGTAAAATCTTTCTCGATTATTTGTGCAAAGATCTCTTATATACTTTTGTAGAGAATGGTCACGGATCCGCAAATGGTAGGCAAAATAATGTTTTCCTTGAACATTTTTCAGGCACTTAGTAAAAGTAGCATTGCGCTCTTCGTCATAAGCCGGTAGTTACGCACTTGAGAACTGTAGAAACAATGCAGGAAGCACTTTCTATGCGGCATTATAACAAAACAAAAACTGAAAATAAAAACGGACAGCATTTAATTAACACCGCAATATATCATTGCAAAGTCCCAAGGACTGTGATAGCCAGAGGCAAAAGGATCGTTTTCTCAGCAGTTGGAATTAACTCATCACTTTATGCGTGGTTTGAAATGGTTGCCTGTATGCAAATGTTTCTTGAAAAAAAACCTGACCTAACGTAACGCCTTGTAATTTGGGTCATATGCGACGAGTGCTTAAAATGATTAGCGGAATAAAAAAAACTCCCGTGCCAAATCAAAACTTGTGCATGCCATGTCACGGTTATGCAAAACAGGTGCCCTCACTGATTCAAAAGACAGAATATTATATGCAATTGATGATCATAGAAAAGAAATGCCAAACTTTGTTTTGTAACAAGCCAGTAATTATTGTCGCAAATTAGCGACAGATTGAGAACACTTGCGTTAAATAGGCTAGTAATCATAAGAGGGTCTTAAGAGTTTCACACAGCATTTTTTCCAAATTAGTTCTCAACCTTCAATACATGTGCCGAAACTGACATTTTTCCTTGAAATTTAAATGTAGCCGTCTCCACCGCCGCAAAAGGTTCGTTAAACATGTGCATATATGTTAACAAATAGGCATCATTGGCTTATTAAGAATTACTTCTCAACATTGTGAATGGTGCTATCTCGAGGATGCCTACATTTGGTTATGTGAATTAAAATGGTTCTATAGTGTTTCCGCTGCGAGCGTTCTGCAAACGTAATCATATAACGGAGACGTGGCTACTGTTTTTCTTCAAATGTTCCTTATGAGCATACTGAAAACCGCATTGCGTGGTTTAAAATGAATTGCTTGTCAAACTACAAGGATGTACACATTTCTAAGGGCTTGATGAATAGTCAGCTTACCGTAGCCCCTCAACTACATGCCTATTAGAATACCCCGAAAAATAGCCTCTTTATCTAGTCACGCTAAACGTAACTAATCGTTGTCTATTTCTGTGGATTATTTTTGGCTCTCCCAAAAGGCTAGTAAGATTCTATTATGTCACAAAACACGAAGAAAGTTAATACTGGTTATCGTTCTCAGTCAGTAAATCCGAACCTCTTCTTGCACTCGTTTCGTTTTCCCTTCTAACGGAGTTGGTTTATTCCTCCCAGATGAACGTCCAACCAGTAAGTTCTCCTTATCATAGTGGTTAACTTGCCCAATGCCTATTCGTATGCAACGCATATTAAAATTAAAACGTCATTGATGTTTCGCACTCCGAAGCAGTTATCGCACATAATATTTGAGGAAAGCGTCAATCATTAATAGCCAAACTACACAAAATCCCAATTTAAATATTCACGACATTTTAACCTACTCTTTTGGTTATGAACATTTTAAACAGGCATATTCCTGAGCATAGAATGCCCGCAACTTGAGGGACATATATGCTACTCAAGATTAGTGTGCACCGGTAGTTTTTGATAATCTGTTTCAATGATTGTCTTGAAATTATGGTGACCATTTTTGACCTAGGGGAAAAATTTACGGACATTTTGAAGGGTTTGTCACAACACTAAACTAACATGGCCCATCTAACATGTTTGCTTTGCCGATATTTCGATCATATTACGGTTCTGTACACTATCGTACTTTGCTAACCACAGATATCTGGGACAACTTGCGTAAGTGTCCACCAAATTTTTTTGCCCCTTACCTCGCTTAAATCCGTTTAAATACATATTTTTATAATCCGTGAAGAGTTGGGGGCTTTTAAATGATGAGAGTTTGTTCTCCATCGATTTCACAGTGACCGTCTTGCAATCGTTGTTATGCTCCCGGAATAGAGTCTGGTTGGGAATACAGATTTGTACTTGCTCACTTTATAGCGTACAATGCGAATTGTTCAACTTTATTTTTGTCTTCATTTTGTAGTACAGCACTTTAAGAAAGTCTTCAAAGGTAAAGTGTCCTAACTGTGCCAGTTCATCTTAAAAATGTAAGCTTAGTCAATTATATGACTGACTGCCATTTTTATGCATTTAAATACATTAGCAAAATCGAAGAAATTTGGTAAGTCAAACGAACGGAAGATAGAGTGGAGGGGAACTGGAAGCTTTTAATATTTGTTCGGAGAGTACGGATCCAGGCAATACATGACGAACAAATTTCGTTACCCACCACATCGTCTTTTTTAACATCATGCAGCTTGTGAAGTTTTGAAACGTCAGTTTGAAAAAATTATATACAGGATCTGCATTCTTTATTTCGGGAAAAAAAACTTACTTCGAAATTAATTATCTAGGTGTGACACGCGCCACATACATTATTTCAGGCTAGCAAGCGAAAACGAATGCTGTCGTAATCGAAAATTCAGTCCAGATGTACATTAGTTTGCCTTTTAAGTAAAGATATATAGTGGAACGTCAAATGTTATGACACTAAAAGTCGTAGGAATTGTTTTAGATGACCAATCGGTTTGGATTATATATAAGCACTTTATTATTTAAGGTCCGTAATACAACGCACAAAAGCCCAGTCAGTCTAGTTTGCTACCCGCTTTCCAGAACCTTACCAATGAGCAGAATGCATCTTGCCACGCTTCCAAACAATCGACTAGGCTTATATGCGCACTGTACGCTATAGCATAGATTATTTACCGAAAATTTCGTCCGTGTCATTTAAAAACTTTGCTGTCCGTGTTCGAAATGTCATCAGTCCGAGTTCAATATATGCTGAAGCAAAGTTTGGACAGCTGCTTGTATAGTACCACACTCAGAAAGACAATTCAAACTCGCCCACAGACATAGTAAAATCAATGCAACAGTTTGAACAAGGCGAAGGCGACAAAGCATGCAGAATTCAATGACGTCATAAATTTCGAGACCTCTCATTCAGCTGCACACGGTCATTGCATAGTTATATTACAAGGCAAAACTGTTCAATCAACGATCGACCTAGAGAGCTTAAACGTGATAGGTAAACTGAAACGTGGGTCTAGTATGCAGGTGCATATAGTGAGGGGGGAGGGGGAGAGAAGTCATCCAAGTATGAGAGAACTGGTGCGGCGTGATTTGGAGTGCAACGTGCGGGGAGCATTCAGTCATGCCGGGGAGAGGGGGAGTGGGTGGGGGCGAAAGGAGAGGGCATACATGGGAACAGGGTTTCGTCCATAATCGATAATTACCATGGCAGTGTCAGGTTTATCACATGGTCCAGCTGAATGAGAGGTCTCGAAATTTATGACGTCATTAAATTCTGCATGCTTTGTCGCCTTCGCCTTGTTCAAATTTATCCCGGGAAAACACTGCTTCAATGCAACAGTTGTTAGAAGAGTTAAACAGATCTGGAAACGAATTAGATGTGGCTAAAAATAAAACGCGTATGCCTGGAAGTAATCGTGATCGATAGCAATAATAAAGTGTGGTTGTGACAACATTTTTTCTAAGACGCTGTTTCGAGAACATAAAAGCGAATGAATAAATAAGTGTATTAGGCGAAAACTGATCACTCAAAAGGCTGTATTTTACATTTGTCAAACAAACAGTTATGTTGCTGAACCATAAGTTTCAAACCAGGGAGTTCTGATGATGGAAATGTAAAACAACACCAGTCGCCAGCATTATGGACGTCAGATAATCAGATAATACGATCTTCTAAATCATACTTAGGCAAGCTTACACCAAATTTATTACCTAAATATGAGGTTTCGCATCTCCTGCTGTCCTGAAGGGTTGTAGATTCATCAATATGACGACTCTTGTCTGCATCTTGACAAAAATGTGTTTTGCATTGCGGGTGTCTATTTAAAAAATGCCAATTCAATTCTTTAGTCTCATTCATAATTCCATGTTTGGTTTTAATGCGCTTGTTTAATCTAAATGATCTGTTGATTCCGTACGATTGGGCTGGTCGCATCTGCCGACCTGAAAGGTCTGCTTGTTAAGGTCATCGTTAACGCCAAGACACTGCACAACAAAGCAGCATTTCGCTTTATGAAACTTATATCCACGTTGCCTCGCGGGCCGAAGGATTCCACAAAACAAACAAATCGAAACCTTCGAGACTTGTTTGAATTTCGTCAGAAGTTTAAATCTCCCACGAGTTTAGATCCTTAAATGTTCAGCGCAGGACCGAAAAAGTCAGGCTTATTTTGATACAACTGTGCATTACTAACATGCCAACAATAGAATTCCAATTTCTTAAGACAGTACACATAAAACAGGACAAAAACGCGAAAGGCTATCAAGTAACTTTGTTATATGGTCCGCTTTGTAGCAGGCGCCTTGATCGAATTAACGAGTGGTAAGTACCTCCCTAAAATCGCAGATAAATTTTGTGTATCAGATGACTTTCACATAACTGTCATGTTTATATTAAATTTATCTGCAAAAATGGCGACACATTCGGATGCTTTCTGTTTATATTAAAGGCGAAACCTGGGGTACGTAAAAGCTTTTATTATGCGTGATTTGATCGAAAATTTACAAGCACTTAGTAGATATTATCGTAATTATAGAGAGCACAGAATGTGTAGAATATACATCCATCTTCTTTGTTGACCTGCGGACTTGGTTGTTAAAGTTTCAATTGACTAACTTATTAACAGGTCAGATAATATTTCAAAATTTGCCTTATAACTCTTTTCATATTTTGGTTGTTTAAATTTTAGACGAAGTGGTTCCCAGTCTTTTCGAAGGTAAACATTCGGCAGGTTGAACCTCCTCATACGCATACAATTGGATGAAGTAATTTGACATGATTGTAGCGCGAATGTAATTTTAATTTAGGAAACGCCAGTCAAATAGGTAAGCCCTCCACTTGTGAATCAAGCACCTCAAAGGATTTTGAAACGGAAATCTTACTACTCAGTTTCCCAGGAAGCGTTTTAAATAACGGGCTATTTTAACGAACTTTTACCTGAAAATGATCCGCAATTTCATGAATATTTATTTGAATTTTCTAACAATTTCAGCAAAGGAGTTTCTTGCTCTTTTGCAAGGTAAGTTTGTTGCCAAAGAAGCGCCTGTTAAACGGGGGTTTGCCAACCACGATTCTGTTTCCTGCATATAATGAAAGCAAATTCGTTTTTGCATTTCTAGGAAAACAGTCTAACCACAGTAAGATGTTCAGCTTTTTACAGATTTGGACTTTATTTTGGACTTCACTTATTTGTCTACTAGTTAAGGAGTAACAAAATTCACTTTGGGTTCTTGAGAATTGGTAATTTATACGCCTACACTACCGGATCTCTACTTGGGCATTCATATTCTACTTTTTTGTGGTGTAGTCTGTGCGCATGTTATTTACTGATTTTCTAATAAAGATATAAGTAATTTTATAAAACCACTTGTCGCAAGATGCTCCCATTATATCAAAACATTGAAATGTTATCGCTCTGTAGCCAGCATGAAAGAATTCTTCAAAGGTAATGTCGTTGTCACAGGGGATTTACTTTAAAAGGGTGTGCCTTAAAATTCATCCAAACTTTGATTATTTTAATTGAAATATTCAGATCAGATTGACGAAATGCGTGAGTTGCCATTTCACTTAAATACAGCGGCGTATGGTGAAATCATATCTGATTTTATCTGCTTAATTTTTATACAGTTGCCGAGCTTCTCATATTCTTTGGAGGTAAGTGTATTTTGGTACTAATTACTGCTACTGACCTTGTCTGTTCATCGCAAATAGAAACTCACATTTCACCATTTTTGCTTAAATTCTAGCAAAGGGGGATGATTTGTGTAAGCAATACTAATGGACTACAGTGGTTCTGATAAATGAACCAAATTCGAATCATCTGTCCTAATGTTGCCAGTTTTTATGAATTTTAAAATCGTTTTTTTCATCTTCAGTAACCGTTTCGACCAATCTTGTAAACGGTATGGATGCGGCAATATCTTCCGTAAACTACTACATTTCCTTTTGTTATGGCCTGTAAAATTGTCTTCCGTATCTTGTAGACACTACCCACAAATTACGTAAGTCCTTCGATTTCGCGTGCAAAAGCTGTGTTCCCAATGGCTTGTGCATGTAGTCAGACGATCTAGCATTTTTCCATGTTTATGTTCGATGTGTTCATGCAAACGACGTGGCGGTTAATGAGTTAATCGTTTTTCAGTGACGGTATTCGCCAGCAACCTATCAAGTGCGTGACATTATTGCACCTCTGAAATTTTGCAATTTCCTCGTTTACGGTGTATGACCAAACTGAAAAACATTCTGATCGCTTGTGATGTGCTTTAGAGCCGGAAGTTGAAGCCATATCCGGTAGGCTATGAATTTCCTTGACAATTGTTACCGGCGTCGTATACATCTGCCGATGACTTGTTAAATATCAAATTATCATACTACATTTATCCGCCAGCCGCTGTTAGTGGCATCGGTATGTTGAAACCAGCATTTACAATCCTCATATTTCCTATAATCATTTAATAAGCAGGTAGTTCTCTGTTTTTTCAAAATTTATCCGGAAAGCTTCTATGAATCCAGATAAAAATGTCAGTTTGACAAGGATTCCTACGTCCATAAGCACTTTATTTTAACACGTCAAAATCTATAAGAATACAATTTCCGCGACGAAAACTAGAAATTCCCTAAAACTAATGTTGTAGTTTTGATGGGGACTAAGAGGAATATAGCAAACAAAGTATCGACACAATCGGTAGAATAAGAAGCAAAATTTCCTGAAAATGTGTGTTTCATTTTGTTGCGTTAACATTATCATTAATACGATTTTCCTTAGGTGGAACGATTGCGAAGATAGTAATAAGTGAGCTATAGCAGCATTTCCATATGTCAATGAATCGCATCACCCAGTTAGAGTAAAATAGTTACACATCAACTATTTTCACGACCTACCTTAATTACCTTCCAGAAACAGAGGACTGGCGTAAGCTTGTACACAGATTATTCCCAATTTTAATGAAACAATACGCAATCAGCCCCATGAATTGGTTTATTATATAATTTTTGTTATCGTCTTTGTGCATGAACGTTTGCTAAAAATTAACGCGCCCTATCTTTCCTCTTGCAGTTAAAAACCTCCTTAACTACCTAAGAAGTCAGTGCAAATTATTAAATGCCTCATTTATGCCATAGTCTCAACACGTTAGCAAATGTGCTTAACGTACTTGTTTTAAATGCAGAAGAGATGGCCCAATTAGGTATGTTTAATGAAAGAATGTGATGTTCTTTGCTGTGAGCTTTGCGTTTCGCTGTAGTTTGGATGTCTTTTTTAATCGCAATCTCAGAAAATACATCTTTTTCTATAGTGAAAGTCATTCTTAAACGCTGGCTCGGTTAGTTGTTAACATCCATTTGTTACTGATAACTAACATATGTGTCGAGCTGTTATCAGAAACATATTGCTATTAGTCGAGTCGGTTTACTCAATGTATGCTTTACATGAGTTTCATCAAACATTCTCAGATCACGAGGGCATAATATGTGAGTTGTTTCATTGGAAAAGTAGATTAAAGCTCCCATAGCGATCTTATTTAAGTGAGAATCGTGCATTGTCTAAAATAAGATATGTAATAAAATAAGTTTTTCTTGCAAAAAAGTCGTTTTGTTCTTCTTAACCCACTGGACGCGTGCTTTATATTTGCACGTCGTCTATAGTCTTTGTCATATGACATGCATGAATTCAAATTTTAGCTTTTTTGTCTTCGACTGCAATCGGCATTTTATGCCTGACTTCTACTAGCCAAAATGAACGCAATTTACTTTTGGTCCACATGGACTTTGCATAAACGTATTCGTTAGTTAAACAGTGACATAAGCAAAGCTTTTGGCTATTAAACGATTTTTATATCTTTTAATAGACCAAATCATTGAGAAGGTCCTTTCAAGTACGTTGTGCTTGTTTTTAGTTATGAGCGATTACAGCAAGCAGTTCCGATACCAGTCGTAATATTTTTTGGGTGCTGATGGTTTCTCAACATAGTAGAGTTTCCTAAGCAGGCACATGTAGAGCCCAGAATGCGGTATTTCACCTGAATATTTTTAACAATTAGAAAAGCAAATTCACATGTCTGATTTGTTTTCATTGTTTTCGCAAAGTACACGAATTCCAACGTTCAGCCTTCTACAACAGAGTGAAACCTAACAAACCCACCTGTTCTGAATGAGTGCCCACAGAAAATAACCGATTCATATAGTCGCTAATGACCGGGGCAGTTTATTCAGTCATCCTGGACACATCTCCTTCTTAGGATTTCGACATAGTTAACCTCTACAGCAATCGCATTTGCGTAAACCATTAATTGTCCACTTTTAGTGATCCAACCAAAGGATATGTAGTAAGTTTTTGCAGACCACTCCCGCGAGAATGGGGTCTTCTAAAATTTATATCTAGTTGCTATATTTGCGAATAATTCGAAGGACCATCCGAGAAGTGAAGAAAACTTTCAATCCACGCCATCTGCCTTGGCTTGGTCAGAAGTGATCATCAGCTAATAATGTGCACTTGTTAAGAAGAAAACGCCGTTAATTAAGAGGAAGCCCAGTATCAATGTGAGTGAATTTGTACTGGTAGTAGCAAACACACAGAGTCCTATTCAGAGCGGAGGCGGGTCGGGCGACGGAGTGGGCTTTTTGTCACGCATAAAAATACTACTGTCCAACCTCACATAAATGCTTGGGAAAAAACTCGGCCTTGCTGTGGCACTGCAGAGTACGGGAGGTAGTTAGCAAGAAAAGACACAAATGCAATCTTAAAACACTCTACTTCACTGTACCCTCGGTGGCATGGATGGCTTGGCCGTACTTTCTGATTGAGAATGTGTTGTATCTACACGGTTGTTATATACCAGAAAACGTATCCGGGGAAAAGTTACAATTCTTACCATGAAAACACGCAGGACCACTCATGTGAGCCCTGATTGTCATAAGCAACAGTCGTCAGGGATGGATAGGCGGGTTTGACGCGAATTGAAAAAAGCACGTCAGGGCGCGCATTCTCGGGCCCACTCACGTAAGACACACATGCATGTGTGCGACACTATTCCTGATCAATCCCCTTAGAAAGAAACATGACTTATTCAAAGTGTCAGCTAGGCATATAAGAATGGTCAGCGTTGACTTTCGCTTTTACGTTTTAGAACTGCCAGCTTGAATCCATGCTGAAGGATTTGTGTTAACATTATCTTATTTCAAATAAATAAAGACCTCTGGATATAGTATTGCCTCCGTTTTCACCACTTTTCAGCGTTTATAATGGCGGCGGGTTATGAGGCGTATTTAAAAAGGCTAGTAAACGAGTGGATGATTACATGAAGGGGAACAAATGAGATTAAATTAGTCTTTTAAAGCACTGTCACCACAGCGTCGGTTCTAAGGAAGCACTGACAGGACAGGCTCTGAGGCCCACTTAAGCATTACAGTCTGCAGATTTTTCTTCCTGTTCACATCGGCCACATCGTAAACAGTAATAGATTATCATAGTTTTTATAGTTTAAGGCAGGGGAAATGAGAATAGCCATCTTTGGTTAATTTATGTTCTCTAATCAGACGTTTCAGCTGAAACAACGAAGGAAGCCCAGTTTGGAATACTCTCCGGCGAGACCGAGCTATCGGCGACACGATCCTGATTTACTGTGTAACTTTTTACCGGCTAAATGCCTAATTTCCGGTCTTCCTCGCCTGGAAGTATGACCCGTCTGACTGATGTTAATTTGTTGCCAAGATTGCAATTTTGGTCCACCTACCCTCATACGTACCTATGTTTGCCATGTCCTATTTGGTGGTTGGCTTTGGGCCTGGAACGGAATTGCAGGGCAGAGTGAATAAAATAATGCAAAATGGTAGGCGGCCTTCATATGTAACTCTGTCCGCTGCAGTATCTAAGCTACTGATATCAGCATGGTAGATCATTTTAAAGGTATATATACATACGTACAGTGAGTGTCGATCCCATTAAGTATTAGACGAGATTCTGAAATGCGTTTTGTAACACTCATTATTGCGCGGCATATCCCTACAATATTTCGAACTTGCCAGGATGATGGTTTTTGAATGTACCTCTTTTCGACCTTCTGCAGAAACTGTACTCGGTAAAAATGGGTACTCAAGTAGTATTTATTTTCACATCGATTTTCGATGGTCTAACTAATTCAAATATATTTTATAGAAAGCATGCACAAAAATATGCTTTCTTTTACTTCTTTGGTAGAAAATCACGTTGACTTTCCATTTATACTCAAATAATGAAGGCATTTTGGTCTCTAAAATAGTTTCCTATTATGAGGTTATAAAGACCGTGCTATGTCCATCCGTACAATATCGCACCTGTCCGTTTATCAGTTCTCCTCAAAAAGTAGGTAACATCTTCCGCGCGAAATCGTGTAAACTTAGCACGACATGTTCTTAAAGGCATAGAGGAGTATATGATTGTTTACGCAAAGTAAAACTCCTATAGACTGAAATCACGTACTGAAATCAGTATTGCAACGGCTAATCGGGTTCAAAATTATTCAGGCGTCGGAAAACGTTCTCAAAGCCTAACTATAGCCTTTTCAGTATAAAATGCGAAGGTGACTCGTTTTGCTAAAAACTTAGCAAAATAATGGATACTTTGTGTATGTTCTCTCTAAAATATATTCGAATCCGAATGACATTTGAAAGTCAAGGTGAAGATGGGTAGTTAATATGTGGTCATCATACCGAGTGCAGTTTTCATGAGTGGCCGCTAAAAGTTCGTCCAAAATCCAACATTCCTGCGATTCTGAAATACCATAGGATTTCGCCGTGAGGTTATTAATATCACAAATCCATCAGGTAATTCTCTTAATAGAAAACGCATTTCACAATTTCGGCCAACATCATAAAATCGGTCCCTCACTGCACACTCGCCTCACCCACCTTTACCATCCACATTGTCCACGCCAATCCAAACCCAGCATGGGCATATTTGGTAACATGCGCATTAGTGAAATCCCGCGATAAGTCGCCGCGGACACGACCACACGATACATCAACACAATCCCCATTCATAAACGCCTCCAAGATCCCACATCACCAGCACCTTCCACGTAAGTGAGAAGTGTCGATTCAAGTTCCTCTCCTCATATGGCTCCTCCGTTGCGCGTGAAATCCGAGCAATCAACTAACTTCTGTGTGCGTTCGGGGGGCCAGTTCGCGTGTTTGGTATGCGCACACGAGCTGGTCTCAGCTCTGTCAGCCTCCCTCCCAATCCTAACATCAGGTGATTGGCCGGCTCGGACATTCGACTGATGCCCGGAATATGGTAGAGTGAGCGAGGTCGACTCTCAGGGCATAATTCATCACCAAAAGCAATCCGGCGCGTTTTATACATCACAATGTGCTAAAATCCGCGAATTGGACCTTCAGCACCGACCATGCAGTCAGTCCAGCAGTGTGTTTGTGTGGGGTGGCCGACTGGTGGACTGATTGTCAGGCTGCAATGACCTATTCGTAAGGTGTCACTGGCACTCTCACGCACGTGAGATTCATGCCGCCCACATCGCTTTTTGTGGAATCCCGGTGCTTGCGTGTGAAAAGGACAGACGAAATCACAGGCTCTCTCAGACCTTGCACTCAATTCCAGCATCAGACGTCTGGTCCCCTCAAACAGCGAAATGGCATGCGAGAGTAGGAAGACAGAGGTCTATAGTCTCAGCGCATAATTCCTCACCACAAACACTCTGTTGTCATGTCCTGTTTAGGGGGCCATCCAAGTCAGTCCTCCGGAAACTGGCTTTCGGATAATGGACTGTTAACTCTCGGGCGTGGCCAAAACCGGCTCAAATGGTCTGCGCGCGCAAATCAAGACATGACTGTACAAGGCGGCATCCAGGGGACATTGCGTGTCAACTGGACGGCATACAAGTAAAACATGCAGTATTTATGCTAACTCGTGCGATGCTAGCCGGAAATCTGAAATGTATCTCCGGTCCAAAAGATCACTTCCGTCCCGTCAGGATGTCGGCTTATAAATATACAGCTGTCCGGCCGCCCAAAAATTGCACTCTGGAATAAAGGGCTACTAAAGTAGGTGGATTTTTTCAGATTGATTTCGATGCCCCCAAAAATTCTAGTATGTTTTGTCGGAATCTTGCATGAAATGTTCGTTGTTTTATTCATTTGATAGCAAATCACGTCTTCTTTAAATTTTTATATTTGACGATGGAGTATTATTTGGTTTCAAAAATCCTCTTCATTTTATGAGTAATTTTGAAGTTGACCGGCTTTTGCACTTGCAATCCAGGCTTTCAGAATTCAAGCTGCATATTTTGCGCATAGATGAGGTCAGATATTTATATGCGCCATTACGAAGGTGTCGTACAGGGTTATAAGCGTTTGCATGGGTGTGGTCCATATTGAATATCCTACAAGCAGCATTGGGCATTATAAGGATGAAGTGCTTTACGAGTGGATATTTTACGGCTCTATAAATTTCATAATTAGAAACTTTTCTGAAAAACCGAATGATGCCAAATATTTAAGTATGACATTTGTAAACGGACATGATTTCCTACGATATGAAAAAAAAGAATGAATATGTATGTGCAGAATCTCGTAAAAATAGATTTGAATGTATAAGGATATCCCAAATCTGTGGAGAATAGCCATCCCGCATATGGAAACCTTTTTACGAAGTGTAATTTTGCGGATGGCTGGAAAGAAACTCGTCTAAAGGATTTTTTGACGTGACTTAAATATTCTGGGATTTTGTCGCAAGACAATTATTGAAAAAATCCCATTAAAGTAACATTTTTGAGTTCAAAACCTATTCCAGAATTTCGGCAACATTTTATGAGGTAACACATCTGTTTTACTCGTTGATGACCAATCAGCCAGCAGAAAAACCCAGTCCTTCGATATCAGCCCCTAGAATTCACGGTGGTACGGACTTGCTGGAAAAATCTGAAAATGGGCTGATTGATAATTGCGCATTGCAGAATAATAGTGCTAAGTCTTAAGAGGTTTGCGAATCTCCGCATATATCGCAATCATAATGGCTTTCTAATAATATCGTCCTCGACGACGGCTAAACAAATGCGTTTATTTATGTCTCTACAGTATTTATCCTGTGTGATTCAGCCCTTTTACATCCGTCGAATGTCTTGGAACACAGAAAATAAATTGAATCATTGGATACAGTTCGATGTTCAATTAACTATTTCAGTGATAGGATTCCGCCAGCACGCGACACTCACATTCTTCTGACTATCCGATTTTGTATGCAGAGTTGAACCAGATATTAAGAATTCAGTCTCGCCGCTCAAGCTTCAGTTGTTTTTAATAGGGCAGTCGTCTTTTTTTGTTCACTGTACTATTTCTAAATACTGATTATTTAATCTTGCCTTTATGCCTTTGAAGGCAAGGGAAAAAGAATGTTTACCCAGACGGTCATATTAAACAATAAATGTGAAGCCGAGGCCAGAGGTCCAGTCGATAAAAACAGCAATTTCAAACAGCCATTCTATTCACAAACGATATCATCCAACATTAATGTATTGCAAAACGATCGCCCTTTATGATTGAAAGCGCATACTAGATAGGCACGGCGTAATGCAATCAATTTCTCCGTGTCGCGAAATAACGTGTGGTCGCCGAATGAGTGACCTATCTCATTAAATGTTGGCTGAAATTCTGAAATGCGTTTTCGATTAGGAAGGATTACTTGGTAGCGGTTGTAACACTGATTATCTTAAGGTATACTCTTATAACATTTCGGACTCGGCAGGGTGTCGGCTTTTAAATGCACTTCTTTTCAGTCTCCTGTAGAAAGCGTACTCGGTAAGAAATGATTACTTAAGTAGCATGCATTTTTCCCACTGATTTTCAATGGTCTTGGAAATTCAAATATATTTTATAGAAACCATAAACGAAAATATGCTTTCTTTTAGTTATTCAATAGAGAATCACGCCTTCTTTATATTTTATACTTGAGGAAGGAGTATAATTAGGGTTTTGCAAAGTTTCTAATTATGAAACTTTTTAAGACCGTGAAATGCCCATTCACATAGCATCGTACCTAGCCGTTTACCACTGCTCCTCATGAAATGTACAACATGGTCCGCATCCATTGCAAAGTTTTATGGACTCTGTATGACATCTCTTTAATGGCATGGAAAAATATGGGATTTTCTTTACGCGGAACGCATGCACCTTGTAGATGGAAATCACAAAGCGCTAATGCAACGAATGATCAGGCTCCAAATTATTCGGCAAATGGAAAGCTTTTTTAAAACCTAGCTATACTCCTTTCTCAAGTATAAAATATAAAGAAGGCGTGATTCTCTATTGAATAACTAAAAGAAAGCATATTTTCGTTTATGGTTTCTATAAAATATAGTTGAATTTCCAAGACCATTGAAAATCAATGGGAAAAATGCATGCTATTTAAGTAATCATTTCTTACCGAGTACGCTTTCTACAGGAGACTGAAAAGAAGTGCATTTAAAAGCCGACACCCTGCCGAGTCCGAAATGTTATAAGAGTATACCTTAAGATAATCAGTGTTACAACCGCTACCAAGTAATCCTTCCTAATCGAAAACGCATTTCAGAATTTCAGCCAACATTTAATGAGATAGGTCACTCACTGTACGTCGACCGACTTTATAGGTATTCGGAAATTCAGAGTGCAAAGGTTCCATGCCCTGCACCTGATTTAAACATGTTCTGCAGGCATTATCCAAATGACTCAAGTAAATCTCCAATGTTTACAGGACCAAAGTGCAGCGCAACTATAGTAAAGACGTAAGCAGTATGCGCCAGCGAGATAAGCGAAGCAACCTATGAGCACTGAGGTGATCTAGTTATTCAACCAGACTGCAGCCCTTGCCAGAAAATTCATGCTTGAGCGAGACAGCCTTTGTTCCCTCCAATACTAGTTCACGGGATTGAATATTATTTACAAAATTTAGTCTCCAAGATGACCAGCAGAACAAAGCACACCAGAGGAAGTCCTCGCTCACAGAATACAAATTCAAGTGTGGAAGCCTAGCTCATTCCTCGATGATGCCTTTTCTGAGTCGTTTTAACCGATAACATCAAATCAAAAAACAGCTCTAGGACAATTCTTAATATGAAGGTAGCGATAACATAAAAATGAGGAGAGTACCTTTCATAGCAGTCGATCAGCGACAATAAAAACAGCTGTGAGTTTACTGAACTTCCATTGATGCCTTCACGCTGAGTAGCCTTCATAAGACTGAATCGTTGAATGGTATTTCCTAGAACAGGCATCTTGAACAAAGTGTAAGCATCTATTCGTGCGCGTTTTTAATATTTTTGTTTTGGACTTTCGTAAGTGGACAGAATCTCGGCGCACAACCTGGTGGCAATCCGCCATTGCTTAGTCTTTCCCTGCAAAGTGGAAGTAAAATTACCTGTGAGTTGGTGATGCCCAAGAGAATGGACTTTTTTATTTCATTGAATCCGTCCAAATTTGCTCATAAGCATTTTGTACAATACATTTCATACACGTATTTACTGATTAGCCGAGCGTCTTGCGGTTACATGACGTCTAAGCAAAACATTTCACTGATGATAAGGGTCAGTTCAGCTAAAATGAATGTCCACTTGTAGACCCCCATCAAATTTGCATTTGTATTTGTGGAAAAAGCAACGAAAAGACTAAGTAGATCAAATTGACCGTTTTGGCTTATTGGTCATTGTTAGCTAGCCATAAACACACCCAGGTTCGTGAGGCCTGGAATGCAAACCTGCACTAATTCGTCATCAAGCTTTTTGTGTCCATTAATCCACTACTGATAATAGAGAAATGACCATCCTAGCCTCTTCTATCTCTCTTTCCTGCATATATTACTGGACACTACGCTATTTCCAGAGGGAGTTTTAGATGCACTTCTAATGTGCTACGGAACGTGTACGTGTGTAGTCTAGTCGGTGGTGACTCTTTCTATGCACATGCATTCTTGAACGGTTGGTGTGCTGAATTTCGTTATGCTCTTTCATAAAAAGTTCAATTAGAGACCGAGCAGATATTACCGTCACAAAATCAACAATTATATAGGACTTTCACCTACTTATGTGAATTTCATAATCCAGTAACGTTTAAATTGTATAGATAATATTATTATTCAAAAAGTGCATGGGGTATCTAAAGATTGTCTTTAAAATTAACGGAGGTGGCGAAGTCTCTATATTCTGCAATACGAACTGTCATAAAAATGCATAAGTCCTTATCGACATGTGGTCAGCAACGATTTTCTGGTGTCATCTGCAGAGGTAGCAGTAATACCTACGTTCATTTCTTGATCTGCTTAACAACTTAAAATGCGTTTTCGACGCCGCATCAGAAAAAACTTCTTCAGCCGTCCATGATGAGTTTATTATTGGACATGCGTGACAACTTTAATTGCGCGAGTTTACTTCCTTCTATTGTTTTAGTCTTCAGGATTTCATCAATCGCCACTGGCAACCCCGAAGTGAGGGATTAGGCGACGGTGAGTGGCTGGAGCCGTTGCAATCCCATCATTCGGTCTATCATACTTTTTAATAATGAGACGAATAAATCCTACTAACTGGATGGGGGGGGGGGATTGTTTGGACAGAGCACCCCAAGCTTCAATCACTCTGTTGGAGAAGAACTCCCGTACGTCCAGCCTGGTTTGTTGTGGCTGAAGATTCACAGAAGTCACCAGGTACAAAATAGCAGCCCTGAGGAATACCTCTATCAGACCGCCTCCTAACTCTCTTTAACTCAGAGGTAATATATTAGGAATAGTTACGGTATTTCGGAAGGTAATGAACTCTGTCTACTGGCGAGTTTGTTTGCACGCTTTTGAACTTTTTTGGAGGATGATGAGGCCTGTGGCGGCCCAGAGTTTCCCTGCTTAAATGGCGTAATCTAACTGTGGCCGCACAAACGTTCGAAAGCCTTTAGCGAAACGATCCTCATCTGAAATAGAGAGTGCTCGTTTGACAGGGCAGAGAGCTGACATCGCGGACTTAGCTATTTTTAAAGTGTGCAGCGACGGTTTAAGTGAGGTCGTGACCCACATGCCCAAGTCCTAATGGGCGTCAATATGCTGTAATGGTAAACCCTGTTATTTGGAGGTCGGGTTCCACTGACTCGAAGAGTCTTGCTCTTGCTTACATTGAACGGCAAAAGCCGTTCTTCTGAACATTGCTCGAGCTGTTTCAGATTTGCCTGCAAACGTTTTCGTCAAATTCACTTCGGATGACGCTCCAAAGCTTACCATTATCAGCAAACGGATTGGCATCACAATTCAGTTCACTGACGCAGTCGGCGACTTATATAATAAACAGGGCAGGACCAAGAACGGGGCCTTAAAGAACACCGCCTTCAACCTTTATCCCTGTCGACTGTCTGTCATCGACATGGACAACTTGAAAGCGGCCGATTAAGAAGCTCTGAATAAACCTCGGGAGGCCACACCTAATGCCTGTTCGGATAAATTTATACATAAGTCGCTGATGTGGTACACCAGCGAATGTCATCTTAAAGTCGATGTGGACCGCATGCTCTGCGTGCCCTGCATAAACTGCCCAGGCTCAGCATTTCAAACGGTAAATCAGGGTTGTCATGCATGATCTGCATATGCAGAATCTATATTGGGCGTCGCATAGCAGATTATGCTGTTCTAGGAGAGGCGTTAACTCTCCTTTAATTACTTCTATTCATGACAATGCAGCGGATTGAGCTAAGGCTGGTTGGTCTGTAGTTTTCTGCTGAGACCTTGCTACGGCCTTTATACAGTGGTGTAATCTGTGCAGATGTCCAGTCAGCGGGTAAATAATCCACTTCCAACAAGACTTGGAAGAGCATGGATAACGGTTTGGATAGTTCTCCAGCGAGCTCCTTCAAATATTTAGGCAGTATGGCATCAGCCTAAGTAATTTCTTGCGAACAATAGCGTCAGCGAAAGAAACAGTCTCAACCTTTGGGCATTTCACTAAGACGCATTCGAAGGAATAGATGCGCTTTCCCTCGTAAAGATGGACGTAGAAAATTGCGTATGACGCTCTGTCTTTGCTCCATCTTCACTAAGCACTATATTATCCCAAGCGTTCTATATGGGGATTGAGTCTCTCTTTCGTGTAATTATTCCTAAGTAACTAAAGAATAACTTCGGATCTTCTACGGCCGGATTCAGCGGGCCTTTCTCGAAAGCAGGCTGTATCCTGAGGATTAGTCGCCTAACTATGTTTTTCTGTGCAATGTAGGCATTTATCGACACAGACTTCACATCCAAGGGGAATTTCCTCCACGACCCCGTTTTTATTCACTTCTTTTTAAAGCTTGCGCTAGCCAGGCGTGATTTGTTGTTCAGTTTCCTCCGTGAAATCGGACAGTGGTCTCTGAGAAGAATGTGCAGTAGGTCACTGGATTAGTCCCAACCCTCGACTGTCTTTCCGGAAAAAGCTGATTTCCAGCATAAGTTGTTTATTTTAGCACTCATTTGACCAAAATCGCAACGCCAGTAGGTCTTTCTTTAAAATACGCTGTGTTTCGAGGAGAAGTCTTTTAACTAGGCGTCTATACGGTTTGTACGCATTTGCCGGCACAGTCCCTATTCGTTTGAGGTTCCCTCTACAACCTTCGCTTTTTGTTCACTTTTTTAGCACTTGTGTCAGCCACTGGGGTGTGCTGCTCAGTCCCTTTCGTGAGACATAATACTGATTTCTGAGAACCAGTGGCTTCTTAACCAGCCAAATCGTCGGCTCTGTTGCTGAAAAACGCTGATTCCCAGTTTGTGGCGTATATTTCGGCTTTCACTCGATCGAAGTTGTCGCGCCAAATATTTCTCCCAACTCTGGCCGGTCGCTTGAACACAGAAAAGTTGCAATACTCCTACAGCAGTAGGATGTGGTCGCTTCGACCTAAGGGAGGCAGAGACCTCATCAGTGCCGTCCAGAAATTTCGCGAGCATCAGATTCAGACATTTTGCCTGTTGCCTTTCACGTGCCGGAAAACAGGATGCGCTGAGTGTGAAATAACTTGAGCGTCAGGTCTAATAAATGCCGGTCAAAGTCAGGGTCTGGACGGGGTGCTTAGACTGAACCCCAGTCACACTTATGGTAACCTGTTTTGTCTGCAACTATTACACCGTGTGTAGCTCATGTGAGAATGCCCCTTTCCTGTGGCTGCTCGAAGCAAGGCTCTGCCTAGCGGCCACAATCCGGTCACCGACTGGACCGCCGGGTTAAAATAGGTGAAATATCTGGTGTTGTGTGTGTGTCCCTACACACGTTAATTCCTCATCTCATTCCCGTCCCTCTCTACTCTTTTCCTCACACTTCATCCCCTCCCCTCCCTCTCATTTTCTCCTTCTTTTTCCACTTCAAAGTGTCCAATGGAGAAGGAGACGTTAAACCACTTAAGCGGTCCAGGCTAACTCGTGTGGCTCTCCCAATAATCAAACCTCGACCCACAGTGGAGCTCTGCAGCCATCTGAGGATGCCTAAGCAGCCTAACTGAAGGACAGCTTTGCTTACCCCTCGAGGCGGGCGTGGCCAGAAAAGGCAAATGCTGGGATTAAGTCATCTGCACGCAGACTACGGCTCGAAGATGAAGGACTCACGGTCGAAACCATCAAGTAAACAACAGCCCACGTCCCTATGTCCTCCCACCCCGACTCACAGGATGCTTTGGTGGATACACTCACTTTCTCAGCCTGAAATGCTCGTTCCCTTTTAGAAAAGCTGAGGAGCAGTCGACGGAGACGGAGACGCTCAAAACGTGGATATCGCTGCTCTCAGGGAGACCAGCTTCTCCGAACAGGACCAACTGGACTAGGTGCCGGCTACACCTGGTTCTGGAGCGTCTGCCCAGAGTTAGAGAGACGCGACACAGGCCACTCGTATGACATTGTAGGACGACTGTCCTGTCTATCGCAGTTCGTAAACAACAGGCTCAGGAGCCTGCGCCTGCCTCTATTTCCCATCACTCAAGGCGGTCTACGGATACTTAACCAACGCAACCACGACATATATCAGTTCCGACTAAACAACGCTACTGACGGGAAATCAGAGATTCTGGAGCGTTTGGCCGAGCACTACAGAAACCTCCTAAACCATCCCTCCACAGTCGCTGTCGCCGCCATCGACCGACTCCCTCAAATGGAAACGAATAATGACCTGGATATGTCTCCTCCTCTCCCAAAAAACAATCACTGCGTACACCAACTGTCCAGCGAAGAAGCATCGGAATTTGACGTGATTCCGGCCGAAGTTTACAAGAACGGCGCTTTCAACTCGTGAGTCAACTCACAATGTTGTTTCAGGCGATGTGGCGCCGAGAACCAAGTCTTCGGTGTTTCAAGGATGCGAAAGTCTTCCATCTCAATAAGCGGAAGGGGGACCAGCATTTGTGTAATAACCAGAGAAGATTCTCGGTCTTCAAAACCAACGGGAATATCTCCGCTCGCATCCTCCTCAACCGGCTCCCTGAAGGTCGGCGTGGATCTCGACGCCACCGCGGAACCACCGACATGATCTTTACCGCCTGCCAGTCGCAAGAGAATTGTCAGGAAATGCGAACACATTTATTCACTAAATTTTGCCAACGTGACGAAATCCTTCGATACGATGGATCACAATGTACCTTGGAAAATCATGCAGAAATTCGGCTGTCCTGACCGATTCACGCATACATCGTGTCACCTCGCGATGGAGAGATGGCGAGTGACACTGATCATGGGACCGTTTCGGAGGCATTTGCAGTTACCAGTGGAGTGAAGCAGGGCTGCGTACTCGCTCCCACCATCTTCAGCTTCATGTTTGCTGCCACGCTGGTGGACGCCTATTGGGATCCGCACCGTCTACATGACCGACAGTCATCTTCGCAACAGCTGGCGCATGCAGTCCTTTACGCGTTTCTCTGCGGCTATTATTCATGATTAGCCCTTCGCACATGACTGCTTGATCAACAACGGAACGCGTGACTCTTCGGCTCCGTCTGCGCCAACCTCAGACTGACCGTTAACACGGACTAACCAATTGCTGATAGGAGCGAAAAGGCGAGTTCCAGAGGGCAGTTCAGAAGATGATGAAGATGCGACCACTGGAACAAGAAGCTTATTGACCTGACGTTTCGGACTTTCACTGTAACCCATCATCAGAAGCAGTCGTGACTGGTGCTTACGTCTGGGGGCCAGGTTATATAATAGGGAAATAGAACATGTGTTTCGCGTGCCCCTTCTTACCCAACCGTAGGGTAACTTCGGACACTGCATCCCGATTAGCTAGGTCTTTCTTGAAAACATGCTGTTTTCTGAAGATAAGTCGCTTAACTAGGTTTTTATGCGATTTAGGTCAGTAGAGGTTAGTATATTTTAAGAGTAATAGGCAATGCCTTTGAAAACCCTATTGTAAACGGTACATGCAATATGTCACTATAAATAAACATGGTACTAAAATGTTGTCAGTAATATACACATTTAACAGAATATTTTCTATGGGAATGTATGCATTTACTGATACAGGGTTCCTAACTGCAAGTGATTTCTTTCATAACCTCCGATTTTTTTCTCACTCCCTCTTTTAAAACTTCAGTCAGTCCCTAGGAGCTGTTATTCGATCTTATCAGTGAAATCGGACAGTGGTTTCTGAGAAGGATGAACAATAATTCATTAAACTATTTCCAATCCCCGAATATTTCCCCAGAAAAAGATTTCCAGTTTGTGCTGTTTATTTCAGCTTTCATTTTATCTCTAACTCTGGTGGTTTGTTTGGGCACAGGAAAATGGAATACTCTCACAATAGCACGAGGTGGTATTTTCAACCTAGAGTAGGTAGACATTTCACCTAATCAGTGCTGTCAAGAGACTTCGGAAGCACCAGATCCAGACAGTTTGACTGTTGCCTTCGAGCACCCTCGTCGGAAACAAGACGTACTGAGTGAAGAACAACTTGACCATCATATCGGACAAACGCTGGTCATTAAAGTCTACCATAATCAAGAAGTCAGACCAAATAGCAAATCTTCCTACGTCCCCTGGCAGATGAGCGTCGGTCGTGGGACCATTTCTCGACGGTCGGTAGACTGTCAAGACGTCGAGCCTTGGTGAACCCGACAACTCAGTAGTTAGCTAAATTGACTCGGAAGTGCACACATGTTTATCTTTTTAGTCTGCAACTATAAGCCCATGTTTTACGTACGTGAGTGGGCCCCCTCTCTGAATTCCTGGCCTCTCTCTTCTGAACAGCTGGTATCCGAGCATAATTAACTCACGGTCGTCCACTCTTTGGTATAGCAAGTTACTGTCAGTGAAATTACATTTGGGGACAGTTTAGACAAGTGGATCATCAATTCGTCAAGTTTTGATAACATGCCCTGAAAAGTTTTGTGCATGAATTTGAATTTGCGACTTTCGGAGGAAGTGCCTCCGATGGGGCTCGTACCTTTGTCTACTTTGTCGGCCGCGCGGTCATCCGGGTTAAACTCGCTCAAAAGACGGATTATGGGCGCTGCCTGACTTGGTTGATGAATCTAACCAAATTTCATTTTTCTTCACAGAGCCTCTTTTCTAGTTCTGGAGTTATTAGACGACGTTTCAGCTTCTCTCTTGGCGAAAAATCCGGTTGTAAAAACGTCAGATTTGCAGCCATTTATCCTAAAGCGCCTGGAGAGAATCGGCCTGGCCTGTTCGCAGCAGATCAGTACAAAGTTAAGAGGTCAAAGACACGTCAATTCTGAAAGATTTTTGCCCATTTTCCAAGACGAGTAGCCCTGAGTATTTCGACTGCCTCAGTGAGTTCAGAAATATTACCAAATAGACTTTGGAAGATCGCCAGGTGTTCCAAAACCCACATCTCGGGGGTATTGGAGTTTGATTCAAGGAGCCCGTGAATAAAAGTACATCTCCCCCTGAAGAGTTCGTTCTCTATGGGGCGTGGCGCTCTGACAATATCGACTGACGATGGCAGCACGAATGGTTTTTCGCAGTTCTGTTGTTTGACCTCTGCACTGACAGATTTCCGAGAAACCGTTGGCATGGACGACTGGGAATAATAGACTGTAGTTTCAATGATGGACTCGATGTCATTGCTCGTGCTGGGTTTATCCAGTTCAAAATGTATCTGAGGGCTGCTAAAGGTTTAAAGAGTCATGGCGCCAACCGCTATGCACGGGGCGGTTGTCGAGTATCCGGTTTGAGTGCCGCGGAAATGTTACTAGGACGTGGCCGTCCACTTACAGTGAATGACCGGTCTCATGAAGTGTTGGCTGAAATTCTGAAATGCGTTTCCGACTAGGACAGATTACGTAGACGCGGCTGTAATACTGATTATCGTGCGAAATAATCCTAGAGTATTTCGGACTTGGTAGGATGTTAGCTTTTGCATGCACTGCTCTTCAATCTCCTGTGAAAACCGTACGCGGAAGGAGATGACTACTTGTGTAGCATGCATTTTTCTCATTGGCTTTCGATGGTCTCGCAAATTCAAATATAGTTTCTAGAAAGCCCGAGTAAAGCATGTTTCCTTTCAGCTGTTTGATAGAAAATCACTTCATCTTTATATTTTGCACTCACAGAAGGAGTATATTCCCGTGTTAAAAGAGTATCTAACTGTGGGATTTTTAAGACCGTGCAATGTCCATTTATACAGCATTGTACCTCTCCGTTTACCACTGCTCTTCATGAAATGTACAACATATCCCGCATCCATTGCGAAATTCTATGGGCTTTATACGGTATCTTTTTAAAAGCATGGAAGAATACGTGATTTTCTTTACGCGGAACTCGTGCAGGTTGTAGACTGAAATCACTAAACAATAGTGCAACAACTGACCAGGGTACAAATTATTTGGGAAAAAGAAAACATTTTAAAACCTAACTAAACTCTTTCGTTGAGCGTAAAATGTAAAAATGAGGTAATTTTTTTATCAAACAACTAAAAGGAAGCATGCATTACTCGGGCTTTCTGGAAACTATATTTGAATTTGCGAGATCATCGAAAGCCAATGAGAAAAATGCTTGCTACACAAGTAGTCATCTCCTTCCGCGTACGGTTTTCACAGGAGATTGAAGAGCAGTGCATGCAAAAGCTAACATTCTACCAAGCCCGAAATACTATAGGATTATTTCGCAAGATAATCAGTAGTACAGCCGCGTCTAAGTAATCTGTCCTAGTCGGAAACGCATTTCAGAATTTCAGCCAACACTTTATGAGACCGATCACTCACTGTACATAGGGTTTCTTGTTGCCAGATTCCCTTTTTCCTAGGGTTTTCTAGTTTTCTCGCCGGCTGTCTTTGTTCTGTTTTTACACTGGTTGTTTTGACTTTGTTGTAGATGCTACAGAATTACCCTTTAAACGACACACTTTTACCTTACTTATATCTACTCGTCGGTAGGTATGTGTATCGTCAACTGCACCTAAACTACATTATAATAAAATTTTCGTCTGTTCGATCTCTTTCTCAAGACGATTGATCTTGATGCCTAACAGCTGTCATCTACTGCGAATTCTATTTTCCTTTGTTCCGCCTATACATCAGATGAGGCTTTGTGGTCGTGATGGGGTATCCGAGTAGTCTGGTCCGTCGGCCGGTATACCGGTGGGCAGTAAATCGAGTTGGCATTGCAGCGCGTCATCTTGGGCAGCAGGCCACTAGTCCACCGAGCTTTTTAAAGTTATGTAAAAATGAAAATCTACAGGATTGACGCTTTTTCTATTGTAAGCGTCTAAGGAATAACTTAAAAAATATCTCGAGAGCAGACGGTCTAGTGGGCGTTTTCACCTAATTCTGACGTCGTAAATGGACAAGGATCTGACTGGGCAGTGCGACAAGCAGAGTTAAAGAAATAACTCAGCCTCATTCAGATGTTGCCCAGAAACGTTAACAAACAGTTAGAAGAAAGTATCTTTCGGTTTTGGATGTCTTTAAAATTCCTGAATAGTATTTTGCCTCGCCTGCCGTTGCAATTGCATTCAAGGTTTCAAAACTACATGCTGTATACATTCCGTCAAAGGAATATCGTACATCTCTTCACGCCATTAGGAATATGTCACAAAGTATTCACAAAATTTTGATGATAATGGATTAGATTATATATTTGATAAGTGGCATTTATAAACATGACGATGCTATGCAGTGTGGATGGACATTTCACGATCTTAAAAATCTCACGATAAGAGACTTCTAATACCGAAAGATGTTTTCTCTTCACATAGAAAATTGTAAAAACATAGTCCGATGCCAAATACATACGGGGGAAAATATTGTTGTGCACGTTCGAATTCATGAGAGCATCAACAATCAGTTGGAAAATTTCATGCTAGTTAACTAGTTATATTTGGAGAGTGTAGTTATTACAGACGACCGAAAGAAAGCTCATTAAAAGATAGCATCCTGGCATGTGTAAAATATCTTTCAATAAAACTACGCTAAAATTAATGATACCAATCTATTTAAGAAATTTTCTTGAAGCTACAACATACTTCAGAATTTTGGTTAACGATTCGTGGGACAAGACATCGGCTGCACACCTACTGTATATATACATGTGTAAAGTGAGTGGGTGGCCCAGCCCATCAAAAGTGTCGAAATTTACGAATGATTGCTAATCATCCGCAAAGCGATACCAATTCGTGGACTCAATATCCATGTTAGTGAAACACAACTTTAAGACAATTAATAACTTAAACTAAATAATAGAAGCAATGTGGCGTAGTTTAGAAATTGCAATTTTTTGGAAAAGCGAAAAATCCCGAAAACGTTCAAAATGGTTGCAATCTAATAAACTTTATTTTTAAATTTTCAAAACGTCTGTCGTGCAAATAGGTGAGTGAATACTTGCTTACTTACTACTTTTACTTGATACGGCTGCGATCATGCCTGATCTAGCCGGCCTCGACGATGTCCCGAACTGTACCTCTCCACGCGTGACGATCCGCGGCAGCAGATCTAGACAGCTCAACCCATTCCCTCGGCCAACGACGGAGACCGAATACCGAAAGTCCAAGAACCACCTCCATGTCTTGACGAACTGTGTCCAGCCAGGTTTTGAACTGACCCCCTCTTCGACGCCTCCAATGGAACAGCGGTGACCGATCGAGGGCAGTAACACTGAGCTCCTGAGGTGGACAACGAAGAACATGCCCGAACCACCTCAGTCGTCTTTCTTGGATGGCCTGAGTTATCCTTGAGATGTTGTCGCATCGAGCGGGGACTGTTTCATTTGAGACGAAGTCGGTGAATTTCACTCGAAGGATGGTCCTCAAGCAGTGGTGGTCAAATACCTCCAGTTTTCGCTCGTCCTCCACGCGCAAATCCCAGCATTCACAACCGTAGAGAAGGACAGACCGGACAGATGCACGGTACACGCGAATCTGTGGCGATGGAGAGGTCACGTCGGTTCCGTAGGCATTTCCGAAGGCCTGAAAAAACCCAGCGGGCAGCATCGATTCGGGAGACAATGTCGTCCTTACTCTGTCCATTAGGCAGCAGCCTCGCCCCAAGGTATTTAAAACTGTCTACTTCTTCAAGTTGACAGTCATCAATCCCGAGGGATGCCTTCTCCTGGTCAGGGATGCAGCTTGAGAACACTTTGGTCTTCCCAGCGTTTATGGACAAACCGACTGATTTAGCGACCTCGTTCACGCGTGACACCATAGACTGTAGATCACCAAAACTTGAAGCAAGTAAGGCGATATCATCGGCATAGTCGAGATCAGTCAGTCGATGTCCGGGTGCAAATTCACCGCCGTCACTCTCGCGTAGGGCCCTCCCGAGGATCCGGTCAATAGCGTAGTTGAACAGTATTGGTGACAGGATACAACCCTGTCGGACGCCAGACCGAATAGCGAACGGTTGGGAAAAATTGTTGCGGACCAGGACTCTCGCGGTAGTGGAGCGATAGTAGGCCTTGATCATGGAGATGATTTTTGCCAGTACACCATCTAGCGCCATTATCCGCCACAGGGACTCACGGTGAACGGAATCGAACGCGGCGGCAAAATCAATGAAGCAGACGGCCGTCGGTTGTTGGTAGCTATGGCGAAATTCGAGAATGCGCCTCAATGTGAATATCTGGTCTGCGCATCCAGCACGAAATCCAACTTGGTTGGACCCCGTCCTTGAGTCACGCACAGCCTGGAATCGCCTGAGTAGGACAATAGCGAATATCTTCGCAGCAACGTCGATGAGACTTATGCCGCAGTAGTTTTCGCATCTCGTCTTATCTCCCTTCTTGAGGATAGGTACAAGGATACCTAATCCCCAGTCATCAGGAACAACCTCGTCTCTCCACGCTCGTTCAATCACCTCATGGAGCCAGGGCGCCAGTGTCGACACAAGACTTGAAAATTTCAGCGGGTATACCGTCCTCTCCGGGTGCCTTATTATTGCACAACTTTCGTATGGCATCGGCGACTTCTTCCTCGGAGGAGGGATCGCATGGCACTGCATAGATAGGAAAGGGAAGAAACTCCGCTGAGGAGGAGAGCAAGGATGATGTAAGTTGGGTATCGAAGTTGAGATGGTGCTCAAAGTGCTCACGCCATCGCTCGACTTTGGCCGAGTTGTTAGCAATAAAGCCGCCGTTCACATCGCGAACAGAGTCACTCAGTGTAGAGGGCTTACAGCTAACTTGGCGAATCTAACGGTAGAGCTTTCGAGTGTCACCCACTTTCGAGGCCTGTTCCATGGAGGTCGCTATTTCAGCCCAACAGCCGCTCGGATTGTTTGTTCGAGGTTGTCTCCTCTAGCGCTTTGGCTTAAAAACCTAACCCCAAGGCAGCGGTGGCAAGTAAACTTATTTAATGGCGGTTTAGGGTCGCCATGTCACAATGCCGTCATTGGGTTTTGCGGCACTTTATAAGGCTTTCAGCGTGCCAGACTTCAGCCCACCGCACCCTGGTAGCAATGTCGCTGCTGGTCCGCGTCTGCTTATTCGTCAGACCTGGGTCTGCTTATTTCGCAGATGAATATAAAAGTACAAATAGAACAACAGTTAAATATAGTTTTATAGTAAAATTTACGTTTAAATATCTCCTAAGAATTAGTGTAATTTTAGGTGTGACGGTTTGCCAGCCGCCTACAGTCTGAGGATAGATTCCAAGACGGCTTTCCAAGGATCCTGGTTTTCGTGACTCCTTTGCGTTGGTTGAACTGCGGTTCAGCAAGAGAAACAGGATTTTACTTGATTTCACCGATAGGGACTTCGTAGGAACAAAAGTCTTCATAAGGTCAAATGCTTCCAGGTCGATCGGTGATTAAGAAATTAAAAGAGAATTGACAGGCGCAATCGTATACATAACATTTGGTGTTTATGAAGGGAACTTTTCTTCCGGCAAATTACGTCGCACATTTTGTATGTTCAGGATTAGGCTGCATTTTAGATCGACCTTAAAGAACCGGTGAATATTCCACGATTTCCAGTGTTTTTAATGGATTGCCCATAAGGACAGATTCTGTTTTATGAGTTTGTTAAAAATTTTAAAGTAAGGTACTCCTTGGAGGCATTTAACGAAGTATCGAGTGTTTGGGCTTTATTTTCCGTTTGGAACGTTGTCTGGGTCATATTTGAAGACTCGCGCAAACAGGAACACTCAACGTCGAATATAACTGTCCCCCACAACGAAAGGTAACAACGAATATGACTAAGATCAATCAGAAAACTCTCCCAAATAAATTACCCCTTAAAGGAGTGCTTTGATACCGCCTCCCGTTGACGGATGTCTCTGTAAATTAATTTTTTATAGAATGGGGCCAAGCAAAAATTTCGCCTTTTAGAGCGTTTCTTTAACTTTGCTAAAGGATTCTGATATTTATCCATCGCCAAAGAAGGAACCTGCCTTGTTAATTATATTGTGGCCACTTGAATTGGTTTGCTCAAATATAGAATCCGTTTTACGATAATGAATGGACGGCAGAGTCACTGAATGCATACTGATAGTATGCTGAAGATACTAATGTTTTGCTCGTTCCATTTCTGAATTAGGTTTTCGAGGAAGCCAGACTGCGCAAAAAGTAGTATTTCATAAGTTCAAATCTGAAAATGACAGTTCGGCTGCTGCTGACAGAAGCGAACAGGCGAGTTCCAGGTAGCAGTTCAGAAAAGGAAGATGCGATCGCCGGAACAAGAAATTTATTTGCCTGACGTTTCGGATCCTCACTCGAATCCATCATCGGAGACATTTGCAGATAGAGGTAAAGGTGGCACCAGGAATGCAGTATTTATAGCACGTGGCTGCCGTGGGACCGTATGCGCACTGCAATTAACTGTTCTCGTAATCACCACTGGGGTCGTAATTGATGCGGTGGTGGCTTGTCGGTCCGAGTCCGAGTCGTTAATGGCCGCGATTTCGTCATCCGTGCTGGATGCTGGTGTGACGATTGCTCGGCAAACTGGCTCACTGTCACCGTGATGATTGCTCGCCCGCGCCCTCCCCACGTGACTGATTCTCCTGCCCAGGGAAAATCGCAGTACGCTATAGGGTACCGGGAGGTCATTGTGTTTGTTGATGGATTGCGGGCCTGAGAACCATGACTCGAGCAGCTCGCGGCTCACGCGGTTGTCACCCCTTGCGAGGATTTCGGCCTCTTGAAATTTGAAAATATGGCCGGATCCCGTCGAGTGTGCCGCCACCTGAGAGTTAGCGTCTCCCCGCCTCACTGCTGCTGCGTGCTCGGCAATTCGCGTACGGAGTAATCTCCCAGTTTCTCCGACATAATTGCTTTGTCCGCAACTACACCAGATCCAGTAAATGACTCCAGACGTGTCCTGCTGTGGCAGTGGGTCTTTTGGCCTCATGACTTGGCGCCTAATGGTTGCTTCCGGCCTGCGTGCAACCCCAACTCCAAGTGGAGTGAGAAGACGACTGACGGCTTCCGAGACGTTCTTCACGTACGGAAGAGCCCGCCAAAATTTGGGTCCGGTTGGATTTGGTCTCTGGTGTCCTTTTCATATGCACTGGTTGACAAAGTTGCGCGGGTAACCATTGGCTCTCATTACCCGTCGGAGGTATTGTAGTTCGGCAATTTTGTCTTCCGGCTCACTGCAGTGCGTTTCGACACGCCGATAGAGCGTCCTTACACAACTGCGTTTGTGGCTGATTGGGTGGTTGCTGTTGAAGTTCAGTACTTACATCGTATTTGTCGCTTTCCTGAACACTTTGGTCTTTAGTCCACTACCATCTTTGCGGCATACGAGGACATCCGGGAAGGCCAGCTGGTTGTTCTCTTCTTCCTCCATCGTAATTTGAATGTCCGGGAAGACGGCGTCGAGATGTTCTTTGAATGTCAACACCTGATCCCGTTCGATGACGACGAAGGTATCATCCACATACCGGGCCCAAAACTTCGGTCTGTGGTGTTAGAAGATCAGCGACTCTAACCTCTGCAGGACCGCCACGGCGATGAATCCCGAAATCGGCGAACCCATTGGTGTGCCCTTCACCTGTTCGTAGATTGTCCCGTCGAACGTGAAGTACGTCCTGAGACAGAACTTTAGGAGCTGAAGGACTTGGGCATGTCCGAGACGATTCTCCGTTTCATCGTATTTGTTTCGTAGGAGTAGCTGGACGGTCTCGATTGCCAGATCCTGGGGGATAGAAGTAAAAAGGGACGTGACATCAAAAGATACCATGACCTCATTGGGCAAGAGACTTACTCCTTTAAGCTTCTCCAGGAATTGCGTTGACGAACAGACCGTGGTGTCCGAATCGGCGGTCAGAAATTTGAGGCGCCGAAACAGCCATCTTGCCAGTCCGTACGTTGGAGGGGATCTTGGAGAAAGGCCGCCAAATAGAGAGCCCTGTACAGATATGTAGACGTTTGCAGACCGCTGTTGAAAGCAAATATGAGATATGCTTTACCGGCGCAAAATGATAGGAGTAATTACTGTATCTTTTGTTGGGGGGGACAGAGCCTCAGGAGCTGAAGGATTTGAGCGTGTCCATGACGAATCTCCGTTTCATCGTATTTGCTTTCTAGTAGCGGCTCGATTGTCTCGATCGCCAGGTCCTTGGGAATAGAAGTAAAAAGGGATGTAACATCAAAAGATACCATGACCTCATTTCGATGGAGGCTTACCCCTTTGAGTTTCTCCAGGAATTGTGCTGACGAAGAGACCGTGGTTTCTGACTCAGCGGTCAGGAACTTGAGACGCCGGAACAGCCACTTAGCCATTCCGTACGTTGGAGTCTCTTTGAGCGACACGATGGGTCGGAGAGGAGCGCCGTCTTTGTGCACCTTAGGGAGGCCATAGAATCGGGCAAAAGCCGTATCTTGGGGTCTCGCCATGCGTCTGTCGGTCGGTGTTATTGCGTCGGACTTCTCCAAGTCCAAAAACGTAACACTAATTTCGCGTGTCAGCGCTTTTACAGGGTTCGTTGCACATGGGAAACAGAACTGTCGGTCCTCCAGTAAACCTTTGGTTGGTTCGAGCAATCATCACACCAACATCCAACGCATGTGATGAAATTGCAGCAATTAACGACGTGAATGTCGGCCATCAAACAATTAGCACACCAAGTACAACGACCCCGGATGAAGGGGGGAGCCGTGAATGTTCATAGGTATGCGGTAGCATGGCGACTGCATCCTATGAATACTGCAGCCCCTTGTGCGTGAATCACGCGTATCTGCTGTTGTCTCTGATGATGGATTCGAGCAAGAATCCGAAACGTCAGGCTAATAAAGCTCTTGTCCCAGCGATCGTGTCGTCTTCTTCTTTTTCAATAAATCATGAACTGTCAAGCGAAATTCCGAATTACTTTTTCGTTTCGAAAAGAATAATTAAGTAGTTTTGTGAAACTTGTCGGCCTAGAACATATTTCCATAATTTTTCTGTTATCTGAGGATGCCGGCTTTCGATAAAACTTCTTCTCAGCTGTATGCAAAAACCTCACTCTGTAAAAAATGACTACATATTTAGCAGGAGTTTTTCTGATTGCTTTTCGATGCCCTTAATTGTCCAATAATGTTTTATGAAAAACATGCATAAAGATATTCATTATTTCTCTCATTCGTTATATACTTACGTCTTCTTCCAATCCTATACTCGGGGATGGGTATAATTCGATTTTAAAAAACTGTTCCAATTCCCGAATAATCTTGGACTCGCTCTAGCGTCACATTGTCATTTAGGGTTTCCAATCTGCAAGCCGTATATTTTCCGTTTACCCAAAACTACACATTTCTCTACGGTACTAAAGGGGGACCATATAGTGTTCCTAAATTTAAGCAGTGGATTTTATCCATATTGTTAACTTTACAAGCCTCGTTGGTAATTGCAGGGACATGACGGTTTATGAACGGCCATTTCACGGTATTTAAAAGTCCGACAATTATAAACTTTTTTAAAACCGTATCATGACCCTCCTTCAAATATAAAATTAGGATAAGACGTAACTAGCCACCGAATGAGCAAAAGAATCAATATTTTTATGCATGTTTTTCATGAACTATAATTGGACTTTTAAGGGCTTTGAAAATCAATAAGAAAAATTCATGCTACTTAGTTAGCCATTTGCTACAGAATGTAGTTTTTGCATGCAGCCGGAAAGAAGTTTTTCCGAAATCCGGCATCCTGAGGTAACTGAAATATTGTAGGATTATGTGGCAGGCTGACTAGTTTTACAACCCTACTTAATTAATCTCTTCGAAACGAAAGCGCATTTCAGAAGTTCGGTTGACATTTCATGAGTCAGCCCACCTACTGTAAATATATACATATTGAAAGGTAAGCACCTCAAGAAATACACATTGAAGTCGAAGGCGTTCTTTCGTAAAAGGAACTTTACTGCCTTAAATTTTCGACGTCGATTCGCAAGGTGGTCTGCAGGTGCAGACTGAATGTAAATGTACCGAGAACAGTTAACATCTGGCAGTGCACTTGATAATCGATAGTCGTTGGCGTTTGTGTCCGTGAACGGCCGCCATCTGTGTCATTCTGGCCCGAGTGGCTCTCGCCTCTTCCATTTCTCCTTGAGACTTTGTACGCGCCGTCGCGTTTATCTTCTTCCGAAGAAAATGGGAAAGAAGAGAGTGTGAGGTTATGGGCCAAGTCGTATTTAAACCGACGTTTGAAAACTTTCTCTCGTTTTCATCACCGGACATTTGCGCTTGCTGCCTGCCAGCTGTGTTAGAAGTGGTGATCTGTATGGTTTTTGACATTGCGTTTAACCAGCTTGATGTTTTATTGCCCGATTTGTTGATATAATTGCACTGCTTGCAATAAATGGGGAGCTTGAAAGTGCGAGTGTGAATTTGTGTTATATAAACTGGATTGAAATGAACGCCGTCGGTCAGTCACGGCAGTAAAGCAGCGAATCTCCGTCCACAACGGGATTGTGACGGTCAAGGATGTGAGATGAACTTAAACCACGCACAATAAGTTCGCTTCGTCTAATGACAAGTCAGAGAGCTAATGAGGACTAGTTTATTCTGTACACAGGGCAGGTTGCCGTAAGTTGGCTATTTGCTTGCAACAGAAATAAGCGTCCGTTCTCGGAGAGCGTCAGTCGCGGTGTGTTGTTTACGCGGGGGTGAGTGTCTGGGTCAGCAGGAGGGGTGACTGGCTGAGTGTTGGTCGTGTGATTGGGCAAATTAGGGGAGGAATGGAGGGCGCATACTCACAAGGCCTCACGGGAATCAAGCCAGAGCGTTCGACGCGCGTTAGGTGATATTAGTTTGTGAGGGCGGCCGGGAGTCACTGCAGCTGGACAGGAGGGGCCCCAATTCCAGCCGATGTGGGTGCTCGTGTGTCAGCGGCCTGTCAGTGCTTGTCGCGGCCATCGACCGACAAAACGGAGCCGGAGAAAAGGGGCGCTGGAGCGGCTGCTACAGGATTAGCCAGGAGGGTTCGAACTTGGGGGATAATACTAGCGGTGCGAATGAAATAAAGCGTAAGCGCATGCTGCCAGAATTAGGGTAAGACGAATGGGTCGACATAAAGAGATTAGGCGGGAGCATCAGACAGTTGGTTAGAGTTGAACACGCTGGACAGGATATAGAGAACAAAATAAGTGAGACGCGCAAGAAACACGTGTGACAATAGAGAAAGTGTGCAACAAATTAAATAACATTCAATGTAAACCGACGGGGTGAGGAAAAGGGGAGTTAAGTCCGAGTAAGAGGCGGAGGTAACCGTGAACCTTGTAGTCACCACTAGCAGCCTATATGTTGCGAGTCTTAGCCAGTAATCGCGGTGAGAAACGACAGCATAAAAAGTCACTAGGGGAATAAAAGCAATATTCAAGAATCAAGTCCTCATCTCCAGGTCCATATTTAATTTACGTCTGCCTTAAAGCGTTGTTCCTTGCTGCGTTAATGCAAACAGTACAGTTAAGAAAAAATTAACCAGTGTTAATGCTCAGTTAGTCTGGCACCTCGACACAAACCTAGGCCTGAAGTGGTTCGCATGCCTTTCGATTTTTTCCGTTGTTGTTGATAGCTTGAACAAAACGTCTCTCGACCTCCCGGTAATACCCTCTGCTCACGCCTTCCCTCCAGGTTTGTAACTAGGGGCAAACATCTCTTCTTTCAGAAAGTTGCGTTCTGGTGGCTGGGCAAGTCGCACCTATGGTCGAGGCACTGTAGACGTATAGCAGACTGTTGACCCAAAGACGTGCGACTAGATTTTGTCTGCCAAGATCACATTGCAGCACTATTGTGTACATGGGAAGGAACATGTCAAGTTGGTACACTTTACTGCCTACGTTCCACATCTTGAGGATATTAACAAAACGTTCTGCCTGACACTTTGATTGGGAATGAAATGGTGGTGTTGTCGCATGAGGGATTCTTCATTTGTAGCACAATTGCTGGGGCAGTGTTGACGGAAACTGAGTGCCACCATCCGTCACAGTCCCTTCGGGGGGTCATATCTTGAGGTGAGTTCTTCCGTCTTCTTTACTGTTATATCAGGAATAGCTGCCGTGTCCATGTCTCGACAACTATACGATTGAAAATGGCCCAGCAGTGTCAGCATGAACTCTCATTCACGGTCCTTCTAACACCGTCCATGGCAGGGGGTACTTTTGGCGGGTCCCCAACCTCACGTCCACGTGGGCCGCAGATTTGAACGAAAGAGTCGACGCCGTCATCAACTTCTTTCGGGCCAGTTGCTTCGTGCGAGTAATACCCTGATGTCAGGCACGATTTGCCGTTTGACTGGTCATACACTATGCACTTTCTTGTGATGTAAAATAGTTTATTTGATCTCTGAAGTGCTTTACAGATGGATGTGCTCTGTCTTCAACAAGCAAGCCGTTTAGAATAAACATCTTTATCTGGCGTAATAGTGGTCTACTGCAGTGGTGTCCCGATATGGTCAGTGGTGAGAAGCATCTGTCAGATAACGCATCTAAGTTCTCCGTCGTTTTGCATCAGAGCTCTTGCAATCACCACGCCTTCGTCGCCTAAGTTCAGCCGTGATATGGAGTCCAAAACTCCGACATTGTGAGCGGAAACATGCAGGACTGTGAAGTAATAACTCAGAAGGGTCGTACTCCAACATTGGATCTTTATACGCGTGTGCTGCAGCTCGCTCCCAATTCATGCTCGGCGAAAAATTCAATAGTTTTTGACCATTTGGAGTATGAAGTGTCTGCCGTAAAGCAATTTGTGAAATTCCTAAAAATGTCTAGCCGACTGTTAATATTTCCTTTTTCAAGTGGGCTGTAGTTTCGCTCTACCTATGTGAGTCATTGGGACACGCATGAAGGGCCAGATGTTACATTCTGGAGCCTTCCGAGAGCGAATGTTGCCTGCCAATAACAAGACACATCCGCCTAGACGACTGTTTCGTTATCCATTTCGAAATACGGAAGTACGATTGACTCAGTAATCTTCTCCTTTATCTTGTCGAATGCCTCCTAACAATCCGCAAACCACTCAAATTTTGCATCTTTGTGAAGTAGTCGTTTTAACGGTGGCTTTTGGCTGTGGAGCCCGAAAATATATGACGCGTGGTAACTGACTAGATCTATAATTTTTTCTAATTCCCGTGCATTATTTGGTACTACCACGTTCTTGAATGCTGCAACTCTTTCTAGATTCTGTGAATGCCTGTTCGCGCTTACCAAAAACCCCTGTTATTGAATTTCCTTTCTGTGGTATTCGTACTTTTCCATGTTAGTTTTTGGGCCGTAATCAATAAGATTGTCCCTGTTCTCATCAGGCCTCTGGATCAGTTCCTTCTCCGTACAACCGAAGACCAAATTTCCATCGAAATAGGTAACAGTTGCAGGAATATCAGTAGGCATGGTGTCCATAAGTTGATGAGATATGTTTGGTGCTGTTTTGACGCAATAATTGAGACGTCCGTATTTGCACAAACCCTTATGTGTATTAATGGTCAACATCCCCTGCGCTGCTCATCGGCTGATAAGTGCTGACAAGCCTCGACCACTGCTTGTACTGCAAATGAGGGCGCGTGAACTCCGTCTGAAGACTGGCTTCTTTCCCGACTTCACTATCAACTATGCCTTTCTTTTTGTACACTACAAGTCAACACATCCAATCGTTAGGCATGAATTATCTTCAAGTACTCTCCCGTAATCTTTGCGGGGCTGCATGTATCTTGGGGTGTCTGGCTCCAGATCCTCAGCCGGGAGATGGTTTAATTGTCCAGTCAATCACTTACAAGCTTCGAGGCGAAAATGTCCGACAGACAACCTTTGTTCTCGAAAACGATGGTTGCCTGGGCGACATCTCCAAACTGTATGCAGGTTCTGTTTGATGCAAAGGCACTCATGGCAGTTGGTTTCGGCCCAGGCGACCCAGGAGACCGGCACATGCTCGGACCAATTGCCATAAAGTCTAAGGTTGTATCGAACAGTGGTGTGGTATGTTCTACGTTAATGATGACCGTCAGATATTTTGTCATCCCACAGATAAGCACCTGTGAGTCATATCGAGTGATCATGTTACACCTCTTTCTTTGTATCGATTGTCCGGCGCGGGATTTTGTTGCTTCGTAACCGATCCGAGAGCAATTTTGACACCTTCCCGTGCGATATGGGCAATGCGATAAAAGCAGCCATTCGTCACGCTGGTTGCAAGTTGTCTTTGAGAAAAGGAAGAAAGATTTCGTGTTCTTTATTGTATCCACCGGTTTCTCTTGTAAAACTAACTACGTATATCTCGTGTTCGTGCTGACCCAACTTCAAAAGCAGGACTTCCGCCTTCTGCATATTTATCAAATAGCAGTGGGCGTACTTTCTGTGTCACACTTTAAAAATGATGCTGTCGAGGTCGTATGTAAGTTGTGTGATGTAGTTTCTGAGCGCTCTTCAAATGAAGTTCAATTTTTCTGCATTCCTGAAAACAAAGCTGTGAAGCTGGCCAAGCATACGCTTAAAAACAGCTGAATTTGTTTTGGGGTAAGCATAAATCCGGACATCCGCGTCCCAAGCAGTATGATAGTTGAGAAGGGAAGCGGGTTACGGGGACCGCTGATATCAAAACAAACCTTTAAAAAATGCACATAAGTCCTGGTCTGGAACGCTGATAGTTTTCATTTAACCTCTTGCGCGCCGGTGAGAGGAAGAAAATTGAATCCGTCTAGTCTTTTTTACTAAAAGATTTTTAACCTTGTAACATTGAGATTTGACATGTCAAGAGCGTTTTGGACTGAGGGGCCTTGATCCTTTCTGGATTTACCGATTACAAAAGAGACCATTTTGCTACTTAAGCCTTTAGACCCTCGTGCTTTTATTCCTCTCACTTCCACAAGGCAGTTTGACCACTTTCAACGAGACAATGTCATTTTCCTCTGGCACGCGCAATTAAATTTCGCCAGTGCTTTTGTGCGAACGCAATTGCAGTCTAAAACAGATAACCCAGGAGAATGAAACTTCTGCAAGATTATCCTTTTGTCGAAACGAACTATCGCTCATTTTCTGTATTAAGAGCAGCATTTCACAAGTTTTGAATGCGAATCCACCTAATTCACCTTCCTTAGTAATGGAGTTCGTGGTTTCTGATCCCTCTTCGAGGTCTCATCTTGAGTGAAATGACGCCGAATCTGCGGACCCGTCAACCGGTGGGTAAGTTCTTCGACTAAGGGCGTGCAGCTGATCACCCGTGCATTCGCGTCTGGAGCAGAGTTCCAATTCCTTAACAAGAAATGACAACTGAGAATTCCCGCTGTACAAGTCCGTTATTCCCGTATTGGACTGCCGTCATTTCACGGGCTGCAGGTTTATTCTTTTAAATTATCAAAGGCCTCACTAACTATATTCAGTCCTTAGGAGTTTTGTTTTTTCATTACTTACTTGATTTGTACCGTATGTTTATTTTGGCAATACCTGCAAACTAGTATTTAGTACTATTATTAATAGTGATAACAATAATAATGACCTTCCTAATGTAGAGGACGTACTGACCCTGTTGTTTTAATTGCTATGATAGTTGAGGACCTGGGTTGTATTGGTCGCCTTTCTGTACACTGTAGTGTTGAATTCACCGTCAGGTGTGCGCGTGACGAGCACGTCCAGGAAGGGTAGTTTCTCGTCCTCCTCGTCTTCTCAACTATCATAGCAATCACCCATTGGTGCACAAACGGGGCTGTGTGAGGGTGCTTTTCGACCGGTAAAAAACTCACCGTAGCGAGCCCGAAGGAAGGATGCAAGAACTAGGACATCTCCGAGACCAATTAACAAAGAACGACTACCCAAATAGCTTTATCAGTCGCTGTATACGCGCACACCCACGCCGGACAAACGGAAGAGAGACACCAACAATTTGGCACTCCCTACCGTACATAAAAAATGTGTCCGAGGCTACAGAACGCATCGCGTCAGAACTAGGCGTGGGCGTCGCTCATCATCCGGCGGCCACCATGCGTAGCACGATCATGAAAATGGAGGATCGGCTGGACGCAGGTGAACAGTCGGGCGTAGTCTATCGAATCCCGTGCCAAAACTGTCCTTGCCACTACACAGGCCAGACAGGACGACGTCTGAGATCACGAATACTTGAGCACAAACGGGCCGTTCGGAGTAGCCACTCACACGCTGGAGGAAGTGCATGAGTTCGACTTCGCCAACACGCGGATATTGGCGCGAGCCGGCAAGAAGACAAGGCGAGAGCTGTTGGAGGCGTGGGTGTCGGACACCAACTCCATCAACAGACACATCGATTTGCCTGCGTGTTATCACGCGCTCTGCCCACGCAGCCAGGTGGCGCAGCTCACACCGTCGCGAAGTACAGACGGCGTCACCACGCCGGGGGAACATCGTGGACCAGGCGGCACAAACCTTATCTAGCCACGGACGTACTCCCCCTCCCCCCCGCAAGGATGAACAACATAAATGTTCACAATTTGCTGCACTCGACTAGCCTCTGATGATGAACTCTAGTTCGAGTTCGAAAGCTCAGGCAAATAAACCTACTGTCTCAGTGATCGTGCCTTCGCCTTCTTTTAAACAAGAACCTGGGATGCGCATATTCTCTTCCATTCGTAAGCAAGATTATAATTTGCTACAAGGGGTTCAAATGAAGGACGCCAAAATCATGAAGAACCGAAGCATACAAATACAAATGAAAAGATTTATTGGTTTCCCCCGGAGTATAGGCAGGTCCGGGAAGGTCTCATACGGGCCTACTAGATTTTCAGCAGTCAGGAGCATGCCTCGCATTTTGATTATTTCAAAGCACTCACAACAACATCTCATCTGCCTGGGAACTTCAAGGAAATTTATCCCACCTGGGTGTTCGCGGGTATTCGTTTTCGCAGCTACTTGCCCGTCCATGGAGCAGACTTCTGAGGAATTAATCGTGGCAAGCACAACAGAGACTGAAACATAAAGTAGATGCATATTTGTTTTTGCACCAAACTAACGGTTTGAAGAAACTTATCGCTAACGCGGGTGAATGTTATTTTGCATTTCATACTAAATTCGACACCGGAGAGTGCCCGACATTCAACCTGATACTGAGTCATTCAAAATCTGTCAAAACACCTATGATTTACGTGATTCCGGTAGTCATCTGGCGAATTCTAGGTGAATTATTTTGGAAATCCTGCTGGGTAGTCAACTTACTATATCAGCTTTGGTGGATTCCAGACGCTGCAGTAGGTTGGGCGGGCAAACTTGACCCAAATGTGATTAAACTGGCGTCGTCCGGCGGGGCCTCTTAGCTCAGGCAGTTAGAGCGTTGGGTATACTAAAGTCTTCACCTTAGTGTCGTGAGTTCGAATCCCACCGAGACGCCGAGTTTTTCACAGTTGGGCCAGTGAGAATTATTCAAAATTTGCCAAAACATTTATGTATTACAAGAGTATGATGCGAAATGCGTAAGTTACTGACAATATGATAGTAGCATGCTTATTGTATTGTTACTATTACATTATTGGTTTTAAGAAGGGTCTTCAGACTGCCTATTCCTCTAATTATACTGAACTATTTAGTATTGACACTTCCAACGTCCTACAAAGCATTACCACCAATGCCATAATCACCAGCAAGATAGGTTCAATTCCAGCCTGTCCGCACTGCGACCAAAATTGCCATCATGCATATGCCCGGTGGGGCACTTTTGTCTGCATCGCACTGGCATCGGCGAACCAGTGCCTTGTGACGTAATATTTACCCGTTGATCACGTTTCACCTATCCGAACTTCCCTAGGACAATGGGTAAATGTACAGGCCTGTTCGGTTACCTGCGTATTCAAAAAATCCATGCGTGCACCCCAAGCCGGAGGCCAGCAGCACGCTCTTGTCCCATTTTTTGACACAAAAACATACCTAGATTACCTTTAAATCCACTTCACAACAAGTGCATACTTCTTATTAATAATATACGCATATATACTGCCATGAATCTGCAACAGGCTTCGCTATTGCCAATATGGATGGCGAAACTTCCTCTGACAGAATAAGTGCATCTCACGTAAGTTTAAATCATGTGCATTAGTACATCCTGCTACACGCATTGGAGATCAGGCTGTGAGTGGCATGCGTACGCAAGATGTCCGGCTCTGTCACTCACTACGTTCGTCCCCAGTACCGGTTGGCATAGAGGCACGGACGGTCGACTGGTGCATGGAAACGTAGATGCATCAATACCCTTGTATTAAGGCAAAACTCTACACACACAATCCATATCCAAATAACGGCAGCACACAGGAGCATCACCAGCGCCTACGACTATCTGAAAATACCAAAAATATTACTGTATCGGAAAATTGAAATTTGTATTGCATCATTGGAAAGCGTACTACTGGTTTTGTGCTTATCGGAAAATTTTTCTTACAAGATGAACACATTTCAACAGGTAGCCTCAGACTGCCCTTCCAGATAGTTGAATAGCTACACGTAACATGGAATCGCATGCATAGTGTATGATAAAAAACGATGGACTTCTTTATTTAACTGAGAAGGAACACTAGCTTACATGCCATGTCTTATGGTACCTTCTCATTAACGTCAATGACTTAACGCATGCTATACACCTTTGATCTAGCATCTTTCGAACTAGAAACCTCTCATAAATTAAGCACAGTGTCACAAAGTTCATCATATAGCTTGTTTAAACTATGATTCGTTTGTTCTTTTAAAATTACATAGAAAACAAGTCTATGAGCATAATACAACTCCCTCCACTCTCGCGGAATTCGGTGTAATGTAAATGCAGTTATAGTGATGTCTGGTTCAAAGCGCTTACGAACGTATTTGGGTTTAAACAGCAAACTGGTGACGAGAACGCCGTAAGACTGTGACTGTCGGACTCGTTCAAACGTGCTCCTAAACGGACAGAAAATGTGTCAGTTCCAGGCAACATTATCGTCACGAGCAAGTAAGTTTGATTAACAGTTTTGCTTTAGGAAACGCGTCAGTCCGGTACTACTCAACGATCGCATAAAAACCCGAGCTCACCGGCGCCTGGTCACCTCTCGATCTACATCTCAGCCGCCTTTTGTTCATCTGCGGAAAATCAAGTAAACACTCACAAGTAGGCCCCGGGTGCTAATGCGCTACCCGTTTATGCCCACGAGTCAACGACACGCCTTAACAACTACTCACTACTACAATAAATTTATCCTACTCTACAGTTTGCCGACAGTTCGACCGTGGTTACCGACGACGTTCACTGCCTGTCCAACATCAGGGCGGACTCAGGACTGGTGAATTACGCGTGATAGCAAGCTTGTGTGGCATCTACCGCAGTCTTTCCTCCCTCACCTTCCGGGGCCCGATGTTGAAGGTCGGAAGCGGGAGAGGGCCCAGGTGGCTGCGCGGCGCGATCCTGCGCCTGGGCATGCCACTATACACCGCAAGCATGATGTTTGCTATGACATTCCAATAACGGATACCCTACCCTGGCTTGGCCTCCGAGTTGGGACAGCGCAACTCCTGTGTGGCTCGTTGTAAGGGGGGGGGGGCGATTTTTGACACAGGCGCACAAAATACTGCAGCCGAAGTGCTCACGGACAAGTGCCTCCATGTCTTGACCTGCAGGTAAACTGTCAACTCACGGTCCTTTGCCGTGCGTATAGCGTACACTTGCTGCACCTCCTCAGAATCTGGTTTATGCAATCAGGCGAAGGGAATTTGTCGTCTGCGCATTGGGTCTATTGACCGTTACAAACGCCACGTCCACGCAGCGAATGTCTCCTAAAGCCACTATAATTTGCCAAATTCTTACTGCGATTGGGAGACACACTTTATTGGCAATGCTATCAAAACAACAATTCGCACTTTTAATCCCCTTTAGGAAGTGGAAAACAATATAAGTTTTTTGTGATTGTGACAAAGAAAATTAAAATTCGACGTTTCTGGAATTTGAACTGGCAGGAATGTGCTATGTGACCCCACACCGCTCAATATCCGTCAGCACTTACTACATTAACCCCACTAGGTCATCATATGCGTATTACTTTAGGTCTATAGGCAGTCTCGCAACGTGTTTGTTTGCCTTGATCTTCTCGATCCTCACCATACAACGGAAGCTGGTAAAGTTTGTGCACTAGCGGTCTGATTGGCTTAACCAAAAACCGAACAAGCTGAACTTATTCCTCTATATAAGCGACAGGAAAACGGTCTGATCTTCGCGCCCGAATCTTTGCCTGGTATTGATAAATCAGAGTACTACAGTGGGTACTTCTACGTATGCTCAGCAAAATTATTCCAGATAGCAGTTGGTGCAGAAAGCATATGCCTTTGAATACAAAGAGCAGACAAGCATTTCACCTTGTCCGCATTTGCATAAACTCGATTAATGACAAAGATCTGTCTGATACCCTTCAAGATGCACATAAATCTAACTTAACAGCAACCTATACAAAATTCTTTTTGTTTTATTTGCTCGAAGTGAAAGTATATATGACAGAAAATTCTGAGTCCGACCAAGATCAAACAAACACTCACAACAGCCCCACAATGTCCACAGCAGGTTCTATCGAGACAAGAGCGCACTGTACAACCGGAGGTTGGAAGTTCATTATTTGCTCAGTGTTAACCTGAAAATCTCACATGCTCATTTCTTGCCGGTGGCACATGCTTATTTCCCAAAACGTCCTATTTGCCGATCCACATTGTTCATCCACGCATATTGAGGGCTGAGTTAAACGCACAGCCATCCAAGCCATTGACTGACTGACCACGGTATATTATCGGGGAGTGGCCAGTGTAAGTTCTCATATGCCTGTTCGAATTCAATCAAGGGCTTAAGTAGTCGGGCAAAACGCCAAATTATTTGACATTACCCACGGAATTCAGAGACCAGTATATTAACACGTAGGCAATGGGTTACAAGATGTCTGCATCCCAGTCTTCACTTACGATTGTGCAAGTCTAGCCATGCAGTGATCCCGCCACGGGCAAAATTTTGGTTCTCCTAGAAACATGTGGGAGGAATATCAATTCAGATACCCAGGTACGTATATAGCTAGTGTTACCTGTGATGTTTTAGAGCACGCTACGAGATTTCACACTTCTAGGCAAATTTCGTGACAAACATCCGTTTTCTCAGTTGCGCATATATTTCTTACAGTATCCTTTAATACACTTGTCTATCCGAATGTTTAAATAGTGTACGTAGTAAATGTCTTTTGGAATAAATTCCCTTTCTGATTTGACATCTATGCTAAGAAAGTTTATCGCCAACATTTAACTTAGGCTGAATTTTAATACATCCCGGACATTCAGTTCACAAGGGAAGAAGAGCATGCCAAATAGCTGCCTGTCCTTGACGTTCACGTCACACGCATACCCAACGGCGAACTCAATACCAC